ACCACTAACAGTGAATTCAAAGGCTTTCAGCTGAATAAACACAGTCATGGAGAGCTGCAAAGGAACCTGAAAGACATTTAGAGACAACTCCGAGACAGCTGGGAAACTTGACTTGAAAAGTCAGCTGCTTCAGTCTAAAAACCTACCTGAAGGCTCCAACCCTGACAGAAGACATGAACTTGAATAAACTGAACTTTGCCCAGCTGAAGTCCTGATCTCTGAAACGCTGGCAGCTGATGGAGTCTGACTTGTTACTGAAAAGCTACCTGTCCACCCTGTGCCTGAAGATCCCAAAAGAGACAACTCCTATCTTCAAGCAGAGCTTCCTATAGCAAAGCCCATGGCACACCAGCCATGTGCTACAGCTGCCAAGCCGGACCCAGAGCCCCAAAGGCCCCTATGGGAGGAGGGTATGGGGTCACTTCAGACTCTGCAAGGGCTGGAGTTCAGTGAGCAAAACCTCTTCAGCATGCCAACCCCCTACCAGCACCACACAGTCCTGCAGAGGCCAGTGATCCCTGCAAGGGTCCATCCATCCTCCTTATGTTTGTGCTCTTCCTAGAGCAAGCAGGGAAGAAAGCCTCTTCTCTTGGATGGTCCCTCATGCCTGTGCCCCATCACTCAGAGCAACTCAACCTCTAGACAGGTGCAGGGAGGAGACACAGAGCCAGGTCAGAGGGGGCGACGACTGTTCCCATTACAAGGCAGGCATTTGACCGCCCCTCCTGCAGGTCCCATCAGGGTCCTGTGCCTTATCCCTGCCTACAGGACATCCTTCCCTTTCCTCAGCCCACCCGAGTCCCAGTCTGTACCTACAGGCTGTGAAATCCTTCCCAGGGTGCAGACACTAACCCTGGCCTGGAGCGAGAGCCCCACACAGACCCACAGACCCCAGCTCCCTGCTGGCTGTCCATCAGGGAGGGCCACTGCCGCAGCAAAGCCAGACAAACAGAGTCCCAAAAACAGGGGAAGGACACCTCCGGGAAGATGTCTGTGCCTCAGGGTCTTCTCTGCCCTACGGACACAGATTCAGGGGAACAACAGCTTGACAGCAGCTCCTCTGAAGGGCAAAGGACTATCCCAGCCCAAGGAAAAGCGTCTGAGCAGCAGGAGACCACACCAGGAGAGGGGGCCCCACCTGGCCTGAGAGACTGTCTGCCACAGCCCCGCTAAGCCACAGCAGCCCTGGGAAGGAGAGCTGGGCTCCAGCCAAGCAGGTGCCAGTGCAGTGTCCACTAACTGCAGAGAGGAGCAGGACCCATACGGGCCAGGAGCCAGAGCAGGGAAGAGGTCTGGGATCCTCACTGATCTCCAGCTGGGTGAGACCAAGGACCCCATGCCCTGTAAGAGGGGAGGAGGAGGCAGGGAACACACACAGCTCTAGAGTATCTCTCCTGTGAACTTCTCCAAAACACAGCAAACATCCTCCAACACATCCCAGAGCACCTCATGGAGGAGACTGGAGTGCAGTGGCAAGCCCAGCAGTGGCAGATGGTCAAGTCCTGCTTGGATGTCACCTTGCAGTCAGGGACTAAGCCTGCCTGCTCAAGGTGTGAGGAATGAGAACTGCGAGCACACAGATCAGAGAACTGATGCATAGGGATGATGCACAGGAGCGGAGGGAAGTTCAGGGCCAGTCACAGGACACTGTAGAGCTCCTAGGGATGCATACCGTTAAGCCAGCTGGGTTTTTCCTGCCTCCCTTTATTTAAGTGACAGTACCTCAGCTAGCACAGAAGAGGAGTTTGCAAAACAGGCAGTTTCTATTTGAGAAGTCAGCCCCCACCTGAACCATAAATGCAACAGCCCTCCACAGGCACTGCTCTGGTCTGAAAGAAAGGGATGCCCCTGCCACCAGCCTGAGCACGGCTGCGTGCTGGTGACAGCACAGCAGTACTGTGCAGGGAGCAGCACAGGGTGCCTGGCTCCCCTGGCCTAGCCCACAGGGCAGCAGAGGGTCTGACAGAGCAGCTATCACATTGTCCTGTTGCCCCCAGCATCCCAGGGCAGAGCTGCGATGCAGGGCACCTGCATCCAAATCTGCTTTCATCCTGCCTCTCTCTGCCCAGGGGAGCAAGTGCCACAGCGCAGCCTTCAACCCCCAACTGCATCCCATGAAATCCAGTGGACGCTGCCCCGTGGGATCGGCAGCAGGGACAGGGCTGGTTGGGCAGCCCTGGCCCCATGAGCACCATGCACGACCTGTGCTGCGACCCGCCCTGCAAAGCCCTAGCCTGGAGCAGTGGCTGCAGTGGGCTCCTCTGCACATCAGCCAGGCTGGCGGGGTATGGGCTGCGCTTGCCAGGGTGTGAGTACCGTGGGGCTCTTACCTGCACCCCCCAGTGCTGCCCCACGTCCTCAGCGTGCCCCACTGCACCTCTGCCAGCACCCGGAGCACTGCCTGCCCACCTTGCTCAGCTGTCCAAGGGGAGCAAGGCCACCAGCCCTCCAGTGCCAGGCAGCCTGCAGGGCTCCCCAGGGGCTCCTACTCTGCTGGCTCCCACCTCCAGCCCACAGAGATTGCACCAGAAACATTTCCACTCTTCAGCTCTCTGATATGCATCTACCCCTTGGGGAAGGGAGATCTGGGAGGGAAATTCCTACTTTATACATGCAAAGACGCTCTGCTTTGCATGAAGTGCCCCATTCCCTCCACTGCCTCAGGTAATCTTTGGTCTGGCCAGGCTGAGCTGCTTCACTCTGACTCTGGAACTATCCCCTGGTTGCAGTGGAGGACTCCTAAGGAGGAAGGGGGCAGAGGGTCTCCAGCATTGCTGCTTCTTCCAGTGCCCACGCACACTCCCAAAACAAAGACGGGGAAGGGAGGTGCAGAGCCATGCCCAAGGAACAGCAAAGCAGCGAGGTGGATACCATGGCAATGTGCAGAGCAAGGGCCCTCACTGACAGCCCTTGGGCCCTGCCCCATGCTGCATCACACAACAGGATCTGGGGTGAGGGCTGGAGCAGGACGAGACCCGGGTCTGTGCATCAGCTCGGGGATGAGTGTGCACAGGGATGATGGGGGAGGGAGCTGATGTGCTGGGGCCAATATAGCAATGAAGGGAAAGAGCAGACACCATGCCCACAACCCCATCAGGGGCTGGGGCAGGAAGGAGTGGGTGTAAAGCCCTTTCTGCAGCACAAGGTCAGTCCTGACCAGAGCAGAGTCTGTCTGATTCTTCGACAGCAAAGGCAGCGCTGCCTCGCCTGCCTCTGCCACTCCCCAGCGTTTGGCACATGAGCCTGCAGAGCTGCACCTGTGAGTGTGGCCAGCACCTCAGCCCCAAGCACTCAGCCCCAGTGTCATGGTCCTCCAGCAAGCTCTCTGATCCCAGCCACTACCCCTCCAGCACCGAGCAAGACCCCCCCTCCAGTCTCCAAATGAGAAATCTTTCCCCACTGAAGAGGAGTGCTCTCAACTTCCTTCAGTCCCCTCCACCCCCAGCAACACTCTGCCCCAAGTCTCTCTGTCTCCCCTCACCCCTCATCCCCAAGGGGCACCCCCTCTCCTTCCCCCAATACCTCCCCCCGGAGCCCAGCCCACACATCCCCCAGGCAACTCCACCTCTCATGAACACTCTTCATTAGGGTCACAGTTTCCACAGTCCCTCAGTGACCTTTTTCGCTGCACTGACCAGGCTCCGTCTCCAAGCCCTCACTTCCAGCACCCCGGGTGACCTCCAGCACTGCCCCAGGCTGTAACAGCCACCCCACACCCTCCACGGTTCACTGCTCCCTGCCAGACACCCGTTGTGCCCGGGATAACCACCCACCACGCCACCTCCGTGTCACACGTGCCGCCCCACGTACAGCCACGCTGGCTGACACGCCGTGGTGTCCACGCCCTCCCGTGTCACCCCGCAGCTCCCGGCAGGTCACGCCAGCACGTCCTGGTGCCCCGGCCCCGCCGCAGCGGTGTCCCCAGCACGCACCGCACCCCACCCCGGCACCGGGCCCCTCGGCACCGCGCACTGCCCACGCACAGCCCACACACCCCACACGCGGCTCGGCGCAGCCCGGCCCGGTCTCGCCAGCGAGCCGGCGGCCGGCCGGTCCTTGCGCTGCGGCTCCGCGCTCCCGCAGCCGGGCCCGCCCGGTACTGGTGCCGGAGCCGCTCTCGGTGCCGGTGCAGTGCGGGTTGCGGCAGCACGCTGGTGCTGGGGCCTCCTGAGCTGCGCCCCCTCCCCGCGCCCAGCCCCGCTGTCCGCCGTGCTCGGGGCAGGCGGCGGAGCGCAGACCGGTCCCGGGCCGGTGCGGGGCCCCGGAGGCGGGAGCCGTCCCTGGCTGCGGCCGCACCGGGGGCCCCGGGAAGGCAGCGCTGCAGCCGGGGCTGCCGGCCCGCTGCGCCCGCGTCCCCGCCGGGAGCTGCGGGGAGAAGGGAAGCGGGGCACCGGGAAGCGAGGCGATAGGGAGCCGGGGAAATGGGGAGCGGGGGCAGCGGGGAGGGGGGCAGTGTGGAGCCGGGACAGCGGGGAGCCGGGGAGCGGGGGCAGCGGGGCACCGGGGAGCCGGGGCACCGGGGAGCGGGGGCAGTGGGGAGTGGAGCAGTGTGGAGCGGGGGCAGCGGGGCACCGGGGAGCCGGGGCACCGGGGAGCGGGGGCAGTGGGGAGCCGGGGAGCGGGGGCAGCGGGGCAACGGGGAGCGGGGCAGTGTGGAGCCGGGGCAGCGGGGCACCGGGGAGCCGGGGCACCGGGGAGCGGGGGCAGTGGGGCAACGGGAAGCCGGGGCACCGGGGAGTGGGGGCAGTGGGGAGTGGGGCAGTGTGGAGCCGGGGCAGCGGGGGCACCGGGGAGCGGGGGCAGTGGGGAGTGGGGCAGTGTGGAGCCGGGGCAGCGGGGCACCGGGGAGCCGGGGAGCCGTCCTGCCGGGCCCGTGGCCGGTCGCCCCCCCCCCCACCCGCGGCGGCGCGAAGTTTGCCGGGTGGTGCCGGGGTGGCTGCAGCCGCGGTGCAGAGCCGGGGCCGGTCGGGGCGTGTGTCGGGGCCGGGGCGGGCACTCACCGTCTGCTGCAGGTCGGGGATGCCGATGCGGACGACGATGGCGCCGGGCGCGGGCTCCTCCATGCGCGCCGGGGCCGCCAGCTTGGGGGAGCGGGGCCCGCCGGGGCCCCGGGCCGGGTCGGGCCGCGTCTCCTCCCGCAGGCCGGCGCCCGGCTCCCCGGCGGCGGCGCGGGGCTGTCGCTCCGGCGGCGGCGACGGCTCTGGCGGCGGCGACTCCGGGCTCTCATGTTTGCTGCCGGCGGGGCTCAGAGGCATGCTCCGTGCGGCGCGGCGGGGCGGCCGGCACCGGCACCGGCACCGGGGGCCGCGCTCACAGCCCGCCCGGGGGCCCTGCGGGGTGAGGAGAGGCGGTGAGCGCGGCCGCCGCGACCCCCGGGGGCACCCCGGCCGGGACCCCGCGGGGGTCCCCGGCAGGGACCGGTCCCCGGCGGGGAACCCCCACGCTGCACACGGGCATCCCCGCGGGACCTCCCCCTCCCCGACAGGGACCATCCCCCGGCAGAGTCCCGGTGGAGCACCCCCACGCTGCACAGGGCCACCTCCGCTGGGACCCCACAGGGGGACCCCAGCAAGGACCAACCACTGGCAGGGACTCAGTGGAGGACGCCCAACCTCGGGGACCTGGAGGGGAACCCCGCTCTCCACCCAGGCCACCCCCACAGGGAACTCATACGGGACCCCTGACTGCCCCCACAGAGATCCCCATCTCAGGGCCCTCACCCAGGACCCCCCGACCAACCATGCACAAAGCTCAGAGAGGCACCCCCATAGGGTTCCCCACGGGAGGGACCCTGTGGGGACTCACACCCCATCCAGGGATCCTCGTGATGAGGGCCTTGCAGAGGACCACCCCCACCCTACATCTGAATCCCCATGTCAGAGACCTCACTGACAAGCCCCGTACCACAAAAGGATCCGCACCAGTGTCCCCTCCCACCCCTCTGCAAGGACCAACTGTCACTGCACGCCCTCCCCAGCATCCACAGTGGGCACAGCCCCCCTTGCTGTGACTCTCAGCAGCCACCCAGGAGGGACCCTTCCTCTTCCTGGCAGCAAAGCGGGGACCTGCCCCAGGCTTACCCCATCCCAGGCACACGGACACCCAGAGCCTCTGCTCACCCAGGGAGGACTCAGAGCACCGTGCACACACCAGAGCCAGCACAGAGGGTCTAGGATGCAGTGCCCTGGGGCAGAGGACAGCTTGTCCCAGCTTCTGGGGCCTGCTCTGCTCCTCTGATCAACTGTCCTCTTGTCACACCCCCACCACTGCCTGCAGTTCACCCCAGTGGCCCTGTCCCCCATCTGCAACCATGAACCTCCACATCTGTACCAGCCTACCTGGAGGGCCTGCCTGGCTCCTTCCCCGTCTGCCAGGGGGGACTCAGGAGGGAGGCTGGACATCAGCAGGACAAGCAGGGGGGACTCAGAAGGACTCAGCACCCTGCCTGTCTCGGGGCTGCCCACTGTGAGCTCCCGCATACCCCTGCTCAGACGCTGTCATCACCCGGTGCGTGTCTGTGCACACCCGCAAACAGTCGGACTGGCCCCTGAGCTGCAGGCTCCAGCAGCACCACCACCAGCCCATTGGGTGAGGAGCTGGGGCTGTCGGCCAGGGGTTTCCCGAACTGGCTCGTACTTGGACAACAGGATGCAGCAGTGCCCCTGTGCCAAAGTTTGGAAGCGGGAGGATGGCTGACCTGCGTTTCCACCCCAGAGATCTGTCTCAATCAGAGAAGCCACATATGCACACACTGAAGTGGTGGCAGGCACAGCTACCATTAGCTCCAGCGTAAAGCAGAGACACAAGCAGCCACCACCACAGCCTGCTATTTCTGCCCGTCCCCCTGACAGTAAGGGCTAATTAAAGCCAGGAGGACCCTGCCTGCCCAGCAGGTCAAACCCTTGCTCCCAAGCAGGGACAAGCCAGCAACTGCCTTGCCAACAGCAGATGGGATGCTGGGCTGAGCCCTGCAGGACTGTGCATGGGACTGTGTCCAGCCCATCACGGGCTGGGATTCAAGGCTTTAATCTACGTGACAATCCTCAAACAGAAATAGCCCCCAAATCACTGAGAGCTGGATAGATTTACGGTATGGCCTGGATCTGTCCAGGAAATGAGTAATGGCTCTTCCTTTGGCCCTCCCACCCTGAGGCTGAGGGACTGCACAAGGCAGGCATCAGTGAGAGCCTGACTCTGCCAGGGTGGCCGGCCTCAGGCAACTCTCCCAGCTGGAGTAGCATCTGCTGCAAGTGCCTTGCACTGGCAGAACAGGCAAAACAGATGGAGAAGGCTGCATCCACAGACCTGGAAGTTCGGGGTCACAGCGAGAGTCTAGCAGGTCCTGGGGCTTGAGCACTGCATCTCTGTGGCACCAGCCCCAGAACGCAAATCATGGCTTGATCATGACAAATAATGAGATCAGCCCAGGAGCTCTGGGCTCCTCCTTTCCTTCGATCCGCACCTGCACCTTGGCATGGGTCAAGCCTTTGTGCCCAGCTGGGAGGACACAGTGCCGTGACAGTTTCAGTCATTCCCCAAACAGTCCCTTTTGAGGGTATGAGAAAACATTCTTGCCCAGCAGCAAAGAAGGCCAAGGCCATGCCTTTCCAGGGTGCCTGATCCACAGCAGCTCTCCTGCTGTGCCTCCCTGGGGTCTATGAACAGCTCTCTAGCAGGGCACTGGGGCAAGAGGAGACAAGACCGGTGGCATTGGAAAGCCTCCTGCTCCATGGAGCACACAGCGTACCCCATCCTGCATCTGTCCAGGCCACAGGAAGAGATGCATAAGAACTGCAGCTCTGCAGAGCACGTGCTGGGGCCAAGCAGCTCTCAGGTCTCAGGAGAAGGGATGCAGGCTTTGAGGCAGACAAGGCCACCTGGCAAAAGCGAGGGCTGCAAGGAATAGGCTGAGCTCTGAGGGTTTGAGTCAGGGACAACAGGGACAAGGTGGGGCTGGTGAGGGGAAGCAGTGGATGAAATGACCATGAGTCACAAACAGCCAAGGAGGAGTCACCAGCACAGCACCAAAGACAAAGGAGTAAGAGCGGTCAGGAAGGGAGACGACAAAAATATCTGTAGAACAAAGGGCCAGAGAGGGGAGCATGGAAAGCCTGAATTGGAAAGCCAACAGCCATGGCCTGCACAAGGCAGAGTCATGCTGAACAGCTCGAGGCCGAGAGAAGAAACCTGCAGCCATGCAAGCACGCGTCCATGGGGCCTCTCCCAGTCGGCCTCCAGCACTGCACTGGGGTCCCAGGGGACATGAGGGTGGCACGGCGTTCAGGGAGGCTGGTCCATCCTCACACACACACACTGAGACACAGCAAGACCAGGAGGCACAATGTGCAGCTGGGTGCTGAGGAGTGCCCAGCACCCTGCAGCAAGGAGCAGGGACCGCGCAGACCCTCGGCAGGACCCAGCACGACCCACACCTGACTCTGAGAGCCCACGGTCTCAAATCTCAACAGCTGATGCCCCAGCAGAGGACACGGGGCTGAGGGAAGCCAGGTCTGCATGGAGGACACTGCACACATGTCAGCCACCCAGCAAGGCCGGGAGATGGGCCAACAAAGGGCCCTTATCAGAAGTCCCTGGCCTGGGATTGCTCCCGGAGGCTGGCAGCTGCCGTGGGACAGGCAGAGCCTCGCCAGGCACAGCAGCGTGGGAGACTGGCTCTGCCCACCTCTCGGTCAGGCCTGAAAGTAGCCGAAGGCTGGACGCAAAACAAGCTGTCACCACTGTTGTTCAGCTACTGCCATGGGCTCAGGGCGAGGACTGGGCCTGAGCCTGATTTTTATTACTGACTTGTAAGAAGGGATCAAACAGCACCTTAATGAAACGCAGTGTGAAACTGGAAGTAGGCAAGTGAAAAGGCCCTAAAGAGATTAGAAACAAGAGCAGGAGGAACATGACGTTCTGCTTGGAAAAATGCACGTAGTAAGGAAATAAGTCATCAGAAATACAAGCAACACGTGGTCTGACTGCACCCCATGGGCATGCATCCGCAGAGGCGGGCAGACCCTGGGACAGACTGGGACAACCGCAATGCACACTTGTGTATGCCCTCATACGCAGCAGAGCAGGAAGAACTCCTGCAGCTGGGGCACACGTGCACACCTGCACCTTCACAGGGCTGGCGAGCACCCCTGAGCTGCAGGAAGCCTGGAGCCAACACAGAGGAACACTTTGGACCCATCTGCCTGAAGGCACTGGGGAGGGATCCCAAGCTCTGCCTGTCACCTCTCCCGAGCCGTGGTCGTGCCATGCAGGCAGGGGCATGCCTTGCTGCCAGCAGGCACTATTCTGCACAGAAACACCCCCAAATGCTACAGCTTTCCTCTGAACGTGCACTGCTGCAGAGGGTCCTGGCTCCCACCCGCTGCCTTCCTCCCTCTGACACACCACCGCACAGGGAATTAAGTGAGAGCAAAGCCATAACTGTCCCTTCATGTTGCCTCAGCCAGCACAGCTCCAGCCACCCTGCAGCAACAAACCAAGCAGGCCAGAATCCACCCCTAAATCAGTCCTGCAACCAGGGTGTCCCAGTGGGCAGAGGTGGCTCCGGCTCGTGCGCTCTCAGGAGCAAATCTCCCTCCACCAGCCTGGCAGCAGTGCCTGCAATCCACTGCCTGTAGTTCTGTTCAACTATTGCCGTTCATTGATTTTATTTCTTTCCTTTTTTTCTGTCTTGTTATTTCACTACGGGAAGAAATTAAATGTTCCAGATGGTAATTATCAGGATTATTCTTGCTTTTTTTTCCCCAGTCTTCTGGTACTTCATTAGTTCCCAATAATGTTTAAGACACAACTGTGAATGGTTGGAAAAATGCACTGGCCACCCCCATCCCCGAACTCCATTATAGACTTGCAGAGTCATTCACATTCATTTTCTCTTATTAAATCAACTTCTCTGCTGAGGAAAAAAAATCACTTATCTTGAAAAAAGATACAAGTTGAGTATCTTGGAAATTACAATCCAATGAGTCTTATTCTAACACCAGGAAAAATGAATGAAAAAATCATCAGAGTTATAAAATCTTTCAAGAAGATTTTATAGTGACAGGAACAAATCAGTAATGCTTCCATCAAAGAAAGTATCGCCTCACTAGTCTAGCAGAGCTCCCTGCACATGCCACTAGGAGCACCAATAAGCGAAACCCAGAGCAGAGCAGTTTATTTGAATTTCCAGCTACTCTGCAATAGCCCTCACAAGAGGTTGCAAAGTCTAGCCACCTTTACCTCTTACACTGTGAGAAACAGTGTTCCCTGATGGCCTGTCCCACACTCCACCATTCCTGGTGTTACAGAGCCTAAGCCACCCTCCCTGCCA